GTTGCAGATACACACATTGTCATTTCTCACATGAAACTTACATGTTTGTCAAGAATGTTTGATGGGCTTTGATTTGAAGACAGTTTAACTTAGCTCGCACTGATTGTCTAAGCTAATTGAAACTTTTAATGTTTCTTTCAAATGTTAAAGTTTTGTGAGAATGTTTCGATCTGCGACTCCCATTCTTAGATGCAAAGACAGTATTTGAAACTAAAGAATGTTTAAACTATATTTGTACAAATGTTAATCTAAAGCCTGATTACAATCTCAAGTAAAGCGTCACTAAAGTTAAATTTGATTATATTTTACATTTGTAATTGTTGATGAAAATGCAGTAAAGTTTGGAATGCGATAACCGGAGAGGAACTAGTGACATTTCAACATAAACACATTGTTAAAACAGTGGATTTTTCTGAGGTAAGATTTCTTCCCTTTTGCATCTTTTTGTGGTAATGCCAGTGTCATTTAATAGGCGATTCTTTATTAACCATTATGCTGCAATGCGCCCAAATGAAATGCACCTGACTTTATTAATTTACCCTGTCTAACACCAGCACTAATAATTTGGGTTAATTATTGGGGTTGTCATAAGACTCAACAAAAGCATGATAATTATTTTCTAGGATTGTACACAACTTTTGACAGGAAGCAATGAGAAAGTTTTAAGATTATTTGACCTGAATAATACTGATTCAGGTAAGGTGAATTAGGTTTTGATCAAAATTTCCTTTCCAATGTATCATACATGATACATTAATGTCTATATTAACTCATTTAGATCCACAGCTCCTAACTGGCCACAAAGGAAACATAAAATCTGCAGTATTAGATTCTAGTGGACAAAAGATTTTTAGCGGTGGGGATGATAAAATTATTCGGTGAGTCGATGGATATTACAACGGTACCACAAAAAAGTGAAATTGTCATTAAAAAAATGAAAATAAAAAAATTCATAAAAATGGCAAATTGATTTGTAGGTTTTGGGATATACGTACAATGACAGAATTTAAGAAAATAGAAACAGGCCACCCAGTCTCTAGTATGGAGATAAATAGAGATGGAACGATACTAATAGTCACATATGGTAACGAAGTGTCATTTTGGGACACCAGCAGGTATGATAGTTTTTTCTCAATATTCCTGAATGGTCTGGCCAGTGTACGTAGTTCAATTATAACAAAACTTTGATTGATAAGGTATGCAACTACCTGAAAACTAATGGGAAATTGATGCCCCAAAGGGTATTGGGCTGTCAATTTCCCCTGCATAATGCAAAATGACTGAAAAACGGCAAACGTCACAAGGCTATATTATCCGCATTTTACAAAATTTCGCAACGAAAGTTTGGAATATTACTAATTTTGTGATGCTCTTTCAAGCTGTGATGAAATTTTTGTCTGGACTTGTTTAGATCAAAATTTAGTCTATAATGCAAATGGTCCATTCAGGTAGTTGCATCCCTATCAACTGAAGTTTTATTTTTGCCTTTTATTTTATTTATTGCCTAAACTAACTTTATTTATACTACAAGCACTATCAGATCTAATTGTTCACACCAGAGATCCAGCACTACTCTCGCATAGGATGGAGGCAAAATTACAATCACACAATTGCATATTACAGGAGGCAAATGCTAAGATGAAAAGTGCTTGCTCTCACAAATGCCCTTAACGCTTTTGCCACTGAAGCCCTTAACTCTTTTGTGTTCATTTTCTAGTTGTGAGAAGATCAAATCATTTGAATGTCCATGCGACATTTACTCTGCTTCACTTCATCCTGACAAGTCGTGTTTTGTGGCTGGCGGAGAAGACTTTAGGTTATTCAAATTTGACTACGAAACTGGAAAAGAATTGGGTACAGTAACTTCAATTCTGAACTAACTTCAATTCTAGATACTTAGCTCTATCAGTTGTAAACTGTTCTTTTATGGAGGTACAATAAGTTATCTCTTATTGTTCCAGTGTTACTACAGGAGGAAACCTAAACTAAACTAACTTTATACTGGATAGCTCTACCAGTTCTAAACTGTTCTTCCTAGAGATCCAGTAAGGATATCTCTTATTGTTCCAGTGTTACTACAGGAGAAAACCTAAACTAAACTAACTTTATTTATACTGGATAGCTCTATCAGTTCTAAACTGTTCTTCCTAGAGGTCCAGTAAGGATCATCTCTTATTGTTCCAGTGTTACTACAGGAGAAAACCTAAACTAAACTAACTTTATTTATACTGGATAGCTCTACCAGTTCTAAACTGTTCTTCCTAGAGATCCAGTAAGGATCATCTCTTATTGATCCAGTGTTACTACAGGAGGAAACCTAAATTACTCTAACTTTATTTATACTGGATAGTTCTATCAGTTCTAAACTGTTCTTCCTAGAGGTCCAGTAAGGATCATCTCTTATTGATCCAGTGTTACTACACGAGGAAATCTAAACTAAACTAACTTTATTTATACTGGATAGTTCTATCATTTCTAAACTGTTCTCCCTAACCAGTTGAAATGTATATTTCATTGTAGAATCATACAAAGGCCATTTTGGTCCAGTGCATTGTGTCCGTTTCTCGCCAGATGGGGAGCTATATGCGTCGGGCTCGGAGGATGGAACGCTAAGATTATGGCAAAACACTGTAGGAAAAACATATGGTTTGTGGAAAGCTTTAAATGGAGAGGAAAATAACGCTACTGAAAATGGGAAAGTTTGATATATAAATGTAAAAGGTTTAGTCAGACAAATACAGCTCGTCTGGGTTCGAAGACTACACACGTAATAACATATTAACGCACAAGTTGTAACAAACCTGCAGCAGACTTGTAGCAATGCATGGCTGTTCCAACAACTTGTCAACAGGATGTGTTCGCACTGCTTGTTCCCAGCTTGTTGACAAGTTGTTAACGGCTTGTTGACAACTTACTACAAGGTTGATGAGCTCGACAGACTTGTTACAAGTTGTTCAAACAATTTGTTATCGTCCTGCAATTCAACAACTTGTCAACAGGATGTGTTCGCACTGCTTATTCCCAGCTTGTTGACAAGTTGTGAACGGCTTGTTGACAACTTGCTACAAGGTTGATGAGCTCGACAGACTTGTTACAAGTTGTTCAAACAATTTGTTATCGTCCTGCAATTCAACAATTTGTCAGCAAGTTGTGAATGACAACCTTGTAGCAACTTGATAAAATAACAGCATTGTTACAACTTGTTGACAAGCTTGCTACAAGCCTGTTGCGAACACATCTTGTTGACAAGTTGTGGGATTTTTACGTGTGTACTCTTTGTGAAATCCATCTATTTTTGTTTGACCAAAACACACATATACTGGTGTATAGTTTATAAATAAAGACGATTTCCTTTACACTACGCTCAATTTTTGGTACGGCGCAGATGAAACTGCTATACCCGTATCAAATTTATCTGTGCTCAGCCTTTGTAAATAGGTAGTCCGGACAAAAATGGTATAGGTACCAAAATTATGCGTACTGTAATTGTAAACAGGTCCGCTTTATCAACGACTACTAACCCAAGGGCAAGCCGAAGTCTGAAAGCGCAGACTACATGTATGTAACCAGCAAGAGAACGAACTGTCTACGAGTCGACTACGTGGTGAAGGAATTGTGTCAGGGCACAGATTACAGGATTGCAATCTCTATAATCTGTGGTTAGAGGGACAGCTCGTGTTAAAAGACGGTATATAGTACAATCAAAATAGAAAATAGATCAGAAAAAATTAGTAAGACAAAAATTAGCGTATGCACTCTCTTCAGCAACCTTGATAACATACTAAAAGCCCTCACGTATCCTCTTGGAGCTTTCTCCATTAAGTTTTTTGTTCGATTTCCCTAGTGAACTCCTATATTGTTAAAAAAAGTGAAATTTCAGATTCATTTATAGGAAAAATAAGTTACATCATCAGAAAACTTACAAAAAACTACATATAAGACATTTAAACGGCTACCTTGATTTTGCAAGTTCTTCTTGAGTTATGAGCTGTTGGAAACGTGTTGTCAGACTAGTATCCAGGATTTTTGTCAGATTTTGGCCTATTTGACACATTTGGAACAGCAATAACTCGAAAACCGCTTGAAAAATTTAGGTGACTGTTTAAATGTCTTATATGTATAGTTTTTATGAGCTTTCTAGTGATGCGAGTCATTTTTGTTATGAGTGAACTTGAAATTTCACGTTTTTTAACAATATGGGAGTAATAGAATCGAAAAAAGGCTTGTCATAATGGAAAAAGCTCCAAGAGGATACATGGGGACTTAGTATATTGTTCAGGATAGTTAAATTATTGCATCTAACAAATTTTAGCTTTTTACTATTTTTTCCAACCTTGGCCTTAAAATGAGCTAAAATTACTGAACTATATATAGGCGTAGAAAAAGTATTGAACAATTTTCATGTGTAAAACTTTAATTTTATTCAAGTCTATGACTATATATATATATACAATTGTTTATGTTTACGTTTATTGCCGCCAACAAAAACTATCTAAAATGACGTTGCTACTGTTCATGCGATTCGCATGGGATATATTTTATGTCAAAATGTACGACAGGTTACATTTTTAAAGTTGGAACAAATCAACAAAATGTGTGTGACAGTGTGAACTCTGGTTCGCGCCAGGCATTTAACCAGGCGGCCGTCCAACCGTCACTTTTAAAATAAGACGGCCACTTTTAAAATTAGACGGCCATGGACGGCCTAAGAAAATGTTTTCATTGAACAGCAACTCGCAAGCCTTGATATTTCGTGAATTCCTAATATAAAAAGTTGTCAGCTGTTGTTTATCTTTTTTTCTGTGTTGGTGTTGTGTACTCAGGTGAATATGTAATGTTTGTGATGTTACTCTGAGTGTATATCCACACCGGGCGAGCTTGAAAAACATGCCCGGCCACGGTGGAAATCGAACCTAAGACCTTTGGAATACTATTGCTCCACAAGAAAAGACGCTGAATTAGGAGTATATACACAGAATAAAGACATACAGAAGTGTAACTTCCATTACAAAACCGTAAGGCGCTTTTTTACCGAAATAGCTGGCGGCCATGTTCTTAGCAACTGCCCTAAAGAGAGGCATTCACCCCCCTGGAATATTAAATTTTCAATATGTTTTCAGGGGGGTGACTGCCTCCATTTAGGGTACTTGCTAAGAACATGGCGGACTGAAAAAATCCCTTACGCACTTTTAATAAGAAGATACACTTCTGTATGTCTTTATTCTGTGGTACATATATGAGCACTGATTCAAGCCCCATGTTTTTTGACCATGTTCATGAAAATAGGTTGTCACACCCACGGTATTTTTTGGACGGGCAGTTTGGACACTCTGGCTAAAAGCCTGGTTCACACCGTCGACGTTTCTGTAATAATATAAACGTGGCGAACACAGGACGATTTGAAGTGTCTTTGATGATATTTACAAATCTAATGTGCGGTTGTCTGTGTGTTCACTGAATGCAAGATGTTCATCATAACGAGGTCAGTTCGCTGAAAAAGACAAGAGAACACATCAGAGTTATTTACGGTGGTGTCCACCCTTTGGTGAAGGTGAAATTCAAGGACTTTTCCAGGCCCATTTTCAGTAAATTCAAGGACGTATAGAACTGGGAAAAGCTTTGAAAATGGCACGGATTTGCCGTATATTATTAACTTTATTCAGTAATGTTGGCACAACTGGAGGTTAAGGAAATTCATTCCAGGACTTTCAAGGACTTCTACCGATTTTCAAGGACTTTCCAGTCCTGGAATATTTTTCTTCCAATTGAAGGACTTTCCAGGATTTTCAAGGTCCGTGAACACCCTGGTTGTTGCAAGCAGGTACATGTACCGTCCAGTTGAATAAATAGACCTTATGCATAATGACGTCACAAGGCTTGATGCCCGCAAGGAATGCTGGTCTTAGTAGTCATTGCGCGGGAAAATTTCGATAGTGGCCATTTTGAATTGTTTAATTTTCCCGGGCGATGACTACTAAGACCAGCATTCCTCGCGGACATCAAGTCTTGTGACTTCATAATGCATAAGGTTTATTGACGAGAATGGTTGATATCTCTCACCACTATTAATTGTTTGCTGCATGTATTATCTTTAATAAACAATTTCCAAATTCCTCCAAAACTAACTTCTGAATATCTGTCCGTGACGTATTTTTCTAGGAAAGGAAGAATGAAAATAAAATTATATAGTACGAGGTATTGGCGGTCCAGGAGTTCGTGGAACCATAGAGTTGCATTCCTGCAATATGCAATGACCTTTTGCCTAAAATTTTGATCTCAACAAGTCTAGACAAAAATTTCATCACAGCTTGAAAAAGCATCACAAAAATATAGTAATATTCCAAAGTTTCGTTACGAAATGCTGTAGAATGTGGATAATATATCCTTGCGAAGTTTTCAGTTTTTCAGTCATTTTGTATTACGCACGGGAAATTGATACTTTTTTTCAATTTCCCGTGCGTAATACAAAATGACTGAAAAACGGCAAACTTCGCAGGGCTATACTGTCCGCATTTTACAACGTCTCGTAACGAAACTTTGGAATATTACTAATTTTGTGATGCTCTTTCAAGCCGTGATGAAGTGATTGTCTAGACTTGTCTAGATCAAAATTTTGTTCATTAGGGAATAGGTCCATTTGACTCTACCAAACACCGCAGGTTTTCTGGATAAAAGTCACCCTTTCTGACAGAGCTTTTTAATTTTTTTTTAAATAAATTTAGTTCACCTTTTCAGCAGCTGAGGCTTGAACAAGGAGACACCGGCATGTCGCCTCAACAACGTCAAGAGTTACAAAAGAGAACGGAAGTCTGAAAGAAGAAAGGTACTGTCAGTATCTGTTGTGAAGTTTGGTGTACATGGGTAAGCACTAGCGCGTAGTAGAGTGTGTTCAACGTGCTATGATTGGAAAAGAATCTTACTTTTCACCAGCATGTGCAAGTATGGGTGCTCTGCTAGGAAGATCTTCCATCTGAGATTCTAACTTCGTCTTTGCCGCATTTTGTTGCTGTACTCGAACTTCTACATTGAGTAATAACAAGACTTGTATGATCACCATCATTTATCATACATCATCACTATCAACAACACATCACCATCATCATCACGACCACCATCACATTACTCTACCATCATCATCACTCTACCATCAGCTGATCACCATCACATCACCATCATCATCATCACTACCAACAACACCACTACCAACAACACACCACCATCATAACTACCACCATCATTACTCTACCATCACCACTACCAACAACACACCACCATCATCACTACCATCATCACCAGCAATGTTATATACCTGCTGCATCTGCCAAGTGCATCAAAGTTTTCCTTTCTGGACTTTCTTCAAAGTTTTTACAACCAGTACATTTACAAATATTCGTACACAAGATTTTTGCCTGGTGGAAAAAGATACGAAAACAAAAGTTAACAAAAACAACAGAGTAAAGTACTCTCAGGAGTCAGGATAAGGTTTGCCTTTATATCTAATTGTGATCAAGTCTAACAAAACCAACCTCGTAACATTCGCAATAATTCTTGAGACAACCAGATCGTTTGCAGTGACAGCCTGTGAGAATCGAGAAGAGTCTGAGGTTCGCATATTTGGGGAGAGAGGAGCGTGACTCGTCTAAGGCCCCGTTTACATGAGACCTGGACGAAGTGAAACCAGAATGAAAATTGAGATTGTCAACATGTTTACATGAGACCAGAAATCACAAATTTTTCAATTTAATTCCCTTGTCAGGCAATTTTATAAATAATATATCACATGGGCGTACCGGGCGGGATAGCCCCCCCCCCCCCCAGTTTGTTGGGCAAACAAAGCCAGTCGGGCAATATTCGCTTCACAGTCGGGCAATATTGGCTTATTGTAAGAATAAATGGGACAAATTTTGTCAATTTTGTGGGAAATTCTGCCAATTCTGTGGGAAAAATGCTATCTAATAGGAATTTTTAGTAATCACTCTTTCCCCCCTCCCGTCGACGGAAATTTTTTTTTGACAACTCGGGCACAATCCGAAAAAGTCGGGCAAATTTCTTTCCGCCCCCCTAATTTTTTCCTTCCCGTACGCCCATGATATATCATCTATTATAATAACATCTATTTATATAAATAATACTATATGACCGAAACGAAATGGTCCCAGTTTGACTTCGTTCCGGTCTCGTGTAAACGGAGCCGAATGCTTGGGAAATCTCGTGTCGTACTCTCTAAAAGGTACAGTAACCGGGGGTTGTACTGATATCCTACAAAATCTTATTAAGGATGGCTGCTTCACGAACCTTTATTATGTCTCCGCTCCGTCTCGCCCGTTCCTTTGCCAATTTTCGGGTGAAAAGCGTGAGGATTTCGCCCCAAACAGGCCTGAAAAAGAGATTGCGAAGATATGCATATAGGATCTACTATTAAATAATAAAAGAGGAATGATGGCCTACCCTGATTGCTTTACTTCGCTCTTTTTCATGGTCAATATTATTGGAACAATTATTACAATTGCAGTTGCTGCAGAATTCACCATTTGCAAAACAATCGCAGTATCTAGAAAATATAGCGCAGTGTCATTGAAGTCGTTTCTTTCACTGCTTTCCATGAATCCTCGGCATTTTGATGTAAAAAATACTTACAGTTTTAGACATTGAGATTTTGTACAATTACAAGGCTTCCTCTGTCTGGTTGGAGACGGTGGATCTGGGACACTAGAAACGGTAACATTTTTTATTGTTTATAAATAATGAAACTTGCTCAAAGAAATCTTTGGCTTTGCTCAGGAAAATCTTCTATTCTTAAGCCCTGGGCAAACTAGGAAACATTGTTGTGGAAACATTTGTGATTCTCGATGTTTCCTCAAATGTTTCCCCTGTTTGCCCACCCGTGGAAACATTGTTGCGGAAACAAAATTTGCTTCCCGAGAAGCAAAAATGTTTCCTAGCGAATTCAGAAACATTTGATGTTTCCCTATGTTTCTCACTAATGTTTCCTAGTGTTTGTCCACTCTGGGGAACATTGGTAGGAAACAATGTTTCCGCAACAATGTTTCCTAGTTTGCCCAGGGCTTTACAGCCAAAGAAGAAATGGTTGGGCTTTGTTCATTATTGAGCGTGAAAACATTGATCAAGTATGTAGCCACTAGGAGTTACGGACAGCAAGGAACTAGTTTGTGATCCTGCTTGACAATTTCACAATCATGTTATTATTTCATCTTTGTTTTCGCCTTCCACATTCAAAAATTGATTTGATAAAGAAGTTGAGAATACTTGGAGGGGTTTTTGCATCCCCATGAAATAGATGATTGCAGCTATATAGAGGAAATGTTGATCTAGACAAGAAGAAACGAAATCCATTACCATAGCTGGAAAGAGCGTCTTAAAATGAGTAAAATTGCGAAGTTTGGTTGCGAATTGTTGTAAAATGAGGAAAGTATAGCCCTGTGAAGTTCGCAAATGTTGTATATATTTGCATTACGCGCGGGAAAAATAATCATTTTTGAGCCGGAAGTGGATATTTTATCGCGCGTAATGCAAATTATATACAAAATTTGCGAACTTCACAGGGCTATATGTTCTTCATTTTATAACATTTAGCAAACCAATCTTTGCAGTTTTACTCATTCTAAGGGAGCGGTCATTATTTATGGCGGGGGGTGGCAACGAAGAGAAAATGGTTGGGTAATCAAAATTTTGAGTAAGTAAAAAGTTGGGTAAATGAAAAACAAAACAACTCAAGGGTTGGGTAATAAAAATTTATTGTCATTTCCAAAGCATGACCCACTGATATATTGGAGACTGAAAAGCAATGTCAACAGTCATTTGTCAATACAATACGTGAATCAATCAGAGTCACTATCTTGATCATTTTAACAAAACAAATGGTGTTTCCAAAAAAGTGCATGTGCAGACAACATGAAACTTTAGACTGCAGAAAATTTCACAAGCCGTTATCAAACTCATGTCATAGAAGTGGTAAAAGACATGTGTGACAACTGAATGGTATCCTTTTGTAGTTTTTGGCCAGGGGTGGGTAATTATTTTTCAATTTATATTTGAGGTTGGGTAATCAATTTTTTGTCTTTTTAATGGTTGGGTCAGCAAAATTTTTGCCACGAAAAACATTTCTCTTCGGTGCCACCCCCCACCATAAATAATGACCGGTCCCTAAGACGCTCTTTCTAGCTGTTGGATTTCGTTCTTCTTGCATTGATCAAAATTTAGTCTATATATAGCTGGAACCATCCATTCAGTCTGACTTGCTCTTGAATATCTTACCCATTGACAGGTTCGGCAGTACTGCTAACTGTTTGAGATATCTGAACAGCTGTTGATAATTGTACTCCACTTGTTGTAGCCCCTGCAGTTTGAACTTGCTGAACAAAAGATAAGTAATACATTCATAATGCTTAGAACACGAACAGCTGTGTTGTGTGAACCTATTCCCTAATGAACAAAATTTTGATCTAGACAAAAATTTCATCACAGCTTGAAAGAGCATCACAAAATTAGTAATATTACGAAGTTTCGTTGCGAAATGTTGTAAAATGCGGATAATATAGCCGTGCGAAGTTTGCCGTTTTTCAATCATTTTGTATTACGCGCGGGAAATTGATACCTTTTTTCAGAATGCGGTTTAATTTCCCGTGCGTAATACAAAATGACTGAAAAACGGCAAACTTCGCAAGGCTATATTATCCGCATTTTACAACATTTCGCAACGAAACTTCGGTATAGTACTAATTTTGTGATGCTCTTTCAAGCGGTGGTGAAATTTTAGTCTAGACTTGTCTAGATCAAAATTTTGTTCATTGAGGAATAGGTCCATTGAGTATACAACATTCTACGTTGTAGTCTTGTATTTGGTGGCAAATAAATAGATTGCGAGTCATGCTTACTGATACGCAGTAATATAAATTATAAAGAATCTCCATTACCTGTGGTACATAAACAACACCATCTCTGATGATGGTACCAGGAGGGAGCTGTATGGTTGCTCCAGGTGGTAGGTTACCAAGATTGGGTGCGATGGCTCGGAGCTGTGTTGAACCAGGGTGGGTTTGAAGTAAAACGCGCTGCTGAACAACACCTGTGGCTTGTTGACTTGGGTTGGGTAGAACCTGATTTCATGAAAGTAAAACTAGCTATTTTATACATTTTATTTATACTGGATAGCTCTATCAGTTCTAAACTGTTCTTCCTAGAGGTCCAGTAAGAATTATCTCTTATTGATCCAGTGTTACTACAGGAGGAAACCTAAACTAAACTAACTTTATTTATACTGGATAGCTCTATCAGTTCTAAACTGTTCTTCCTAGAGGTCCAGTAAGGATCATCTCTTATTGATCCAGTGTTACTACAGGAGGAAACCTAAACTAAACTAACTTTATGTATACTGGATAGCTCTATCAGTTCTAAACTGTTCTTCCTAGAGGTCCAGTAAGGATCATCTCATATTGATCCAGTGTTACTACAGGAGGAAACCTAACTAAACTAACTTTATGTATACTGGATAGCTCTATCAGTTCTAAACTGTTCTTCCTAGAGGTCCAGTAAGGATCATCTCATATTGATCCAGTGTTACTACAGGAGGAAACCTAAACTAAACTAACTTTATTTATACTGGATAGCTCTATCAGTTCTAAACTGTTCTCCCTAGAGGTCCCAGTAAGGATCATCTCTTATTGATTCAGTGTTACTACAGGAGGAAACCTAAACTAAACTAACTTTATTTATACTGGCTAGCTCTATCAGTTCTAAACTGTTCTTCCTAGAGGTCCCAGTAAGGATCATCTCTTATTGATTCAATGTTACTACAGGAGGAAACCTAAACTAAACTGGATTGCTCTATCAGTTCTAAACCGTTCTTCTTAGAGGTCCAGCAAGGTGCCAAGATCATCTCTTATTGGTCCAGTGTTACTACAGGAGGAAACCTAAACTAAACTAATTTTATTTATATTGGATTGTTCTATCAGTTCTAAACTGTTCTTCCTAGAGGTCCAGCAAGGATCATCTCTTATTGATCCAGTGTTACTACAGAAGGAAACCTAAACTAAACTAACTTTATTTATATTGGATTGTTCTATCAGTTCTAAACTGTTCTTCTTAGAGGTCCAGTAAGGGTTAACCCTTTTTTGTACAGTATTACAACTGGAGGAAACCAGACTGTCCATTGAGCATTATGTGGAAGCAAACTGGAAACACTCTTCTCACAAGCGACATAAGTGAAATTATAATCAGACAACTGCAGGAATTGAACACAGAGATGACACATGCAAGACACATGCAAGACACATGTAAGACACATGTAAGACATATGCAGTAACAACTAGGCCACAACAACACACAATGATACAGTACCTGTTTTCCTGGCCTGGGTGTATTGGCAGGCTTGAGTTGAATTTGTGTTACTTGTGGTCTCACCACTGTGCTAGTGCCGGTGGCCATCCTTGGTGCTATGGGTCTTAAGGTGGTCTGTGGGGATATCCTTGGTTGAGGGACTATCTGGAACCGAGGTAGGTTTCCAATGCTCTGAACAAACCTTGGCACACTGTTGCCGGATATCGCAATCAGTTTGTTTGAAGATGACGTTGTAGTAAAGTACATTGGCTAAAATGATGAATGTTCAATTTTGTGCTGTTACAATAGTTGTCTTAAGGTAAATCCATCACTAAACTGAACTTTATTTATACTGAATAGTTCTAAACTGTTCTCTCCAGAGATACAGTAATGGTCTCTTATTGATCCAGTGTTACTACAGGAGGAAACTTAAACTAAACTTTCTATATTTATACTGGATCGCTCTATTAGTTCTAAACTGTTCTTCCCAGAGGACCAGTAAGGATCATCTCTTATTGATCCAGTGTTACTACAGGAGGAAACCTAAACTAAACTAATTTTATTTATACTAAATAATTCTATCAGTTCTAAACTGTTCTTCCTAAAGGTCCAGTAAGAATCATCTGCTACTGTTCCAGTGTTACTACACAAGGAAACCAAAGGCGCATGTATGCACAGAATTTCATTGTATGCTATTACCTTGTTCCCAGGTGCAGAGGGACTTGGAATGACCTTGTTCCCTTGTGGTACAATCGACTGAGCCATAGGGCGTCGCTGTACTGGTTGAGTACTTGATGTTTGCTGTATCATGACAGGCTGAGTGTTTCCTGGAGGTAAACCTAGAACAGCAGCTTGAAGATAATGATATTTTATAAGGTACTGCTACTCTCAAAAGAATGTTGAAAACACCAAATATGCACAGGTTAAGGCGCATTTCCACTCAGGAAAATTTTCCGCAGAAAGAAAATTTTGTGAAATGTGATTGGCTGACACAAATTTTCTGTCGGAAAAAAATTTTGAAGTTGAAAATTTTCAACTTTTAACAATGATATTTTCAGAAAATTTTCTGTCTGTGGAAAATTTTCTTGAGTGGAAATGGGTCTTAAGACAATTGCATACATGGCTGATGATGTGTTATGCAATCTAATAAAGATAATTCACTGTAGGCAATGTTTTATGGAGAACTTCAACCAATGAATAACAGACAATTCCCATTATAGACTAATTTTAAAACTAGGCAAGGAGATGCAAATAAATCACCACAGCTAGAAAGAGCATACTAAAATGAGTAAAATTACAACATTTGGTTGCGAAATGTTGTAAAATGTGGAAAATATAGCCTTGCAAAGTTTGTATACTTTTGTATTGCTTGCGACCATTTTCAGCCTAAATGTGGTAGGAATGTGGTAGGAATTTCCGGAAGCAATACAAAAGTATACAAAATTTGCGAACTTTGCAAGGCTATATTTTCCTCATTTCACAACAATTCGCAACCAAACTTTGTAATTTTACTAATTTTAGTATGCTCTTTCTAGCTGTGGTGATTTATTTGAGTTTCCTTGCCTAATTTTAAAATTAGTCTATAATGGGAATTATCTATTGGGAAACTAGACAGTTATACACAATCATCTTGAAGTGCCATCATGCTGCAGATGATGGCCACCTGGTATTTATCAGAGTGAGAAAATAATGTTCATTCTTTTTATTATATGTGGTAATCTTGTCAGTTATATTGAACTCAGAGTTCATACACATTCATAATTTAAAAAATCCAGGGTTTTCCAGGGGCATTGGTTTTCATCCTTTTTTCAGGGGTTTTCCAGGGGAAATTGAAATAAAAATGTAATTGTTTAACTGATAACAAACATTCGCGATTGCTAGTACTTCATCTTGGACATGTATTTTTTGGGTTTGTACCAGTTCGAACGAAACGTCATGCGGTTGTGTGATATGCCCAAGAAATGCTGTGACTATTTATAAATTACAAATAGTCACAGCATTTCTTGGGCCTAAACTAATTAACACTATCTTAAAAAGAAAGATTGAACAAACATTTCTTGCATTATGCAAGAGCTCAGTTTTCCAGGGATAAATTTGAAATTCCAGGGTTTTCAAGGGTTTTTCAGGACTAAAATAAAAATCCATGGTTTTCCGGGAGGCATACGAACCCTCTGCAGTGTCAATATTTCTTACATAAACTCAACAATTGACGTACCCATCTCAAATTTTAAAGACAATGTCCACTCCTGTGTGCATGCGCGAACTTTGTTTACATTTTAAACTGCTATATTTGTAAAATATGATATACTAACTGAATATCGAACACTTTTCTGGTTTGCTATGCTTGTAAATGAATATAAACTCTATGTTTCAATTCAAAAAAGTTGGAAAGATGCAAAATTTGGGCAATGTTTATATCTGGGGCCCCCTTTGTTATGAGCAGAACTGGTGCGCAAAATGGAGTGAAAATCATCTTTAATTAACATCTCTCAATCATACAATAATAATATATCCAGGAATATTTTTTTAGGATTACCAGGGTTTTGCAAAGAAGAGATAGACACAGCACGACCTGCAAACATCTGTGACGTCACTGTCTGCGGGACTACAGGTTGTTGTACACCCTGCACTTGACATGCCTGCAATGCCGAAATGGTCACTGGTACATCTTGGTCCATGGGTTCCGGCACAGTCATATTGGTTGTTGGTGTCGTCATGGCAACAAACTTTTGAGATATTGGTGTTGAGGTATCCATGGCTCCATTCGGTGGCTCGACTTTGACCAAGGAATGACTAGCAGCTTCTTGTTGTAACATTACAAAAACTCTGCTGTGCCTTCTATGTTACATTCCTAGTAAGTGTTAAAAGTTTGCAAGTAGTAGAATGGTAAATTTCAGAAATGGACACACATTCATCCAGTTTCGTTTCCTGCATAGAGGAATTTAGAGCTGTGCCCAACTGGATTTGAATAACTGACTATTTTTCAGAAAGTACATAACCTTGGCTATGTAGAGCTTCATCTTTGTGATTGAGACGTCGAGCTGTAACTAATGTTGCATAAAAACAAGACTCTATAGCCAAAATGGCGTGCTTTCCAAAAGGGTGTCTACTTCCCCTTGACCAGTAAAATTGTCTGGCAAAAGACGAAGTATAAACTTTGTGGCAAACATTTTTTTGGATTTCCAAACAAGCAAATTCCACTTACTAGTAAAATATCCAAAATAAAACAACACTCAACTAAAATATATTAAATATAAAACACAAAGGACGTATTTACATTCATGAATTTAATAATATGTTATGTAAGGAATGTTTCAAAATTGAATCGAAAATTATGAAATATAATGAACTCTCTGTTTGTTTACATTTTTGCAAATTCATTTGGCTTCACAAAAGTAATGTATTTTTATATTTCTCGGGCAAAATTTGTGCTTTATTGCCTCTACAAGATTAATATAAGATTAAGTTAAATTTAATTTTCAGTCCGGTTTTAAAAAACACGCTGCTTTTATGTTTTAATTTGACCTTTGGATTCGCACACCAAATTACGACACGAAATATTTTTGTTTAAAATCCTAACATTTAAAGCCCATATCTTGCTGGTTTCATATAAATTAATCCACTAAAACGCAAGAATATTAAAATGGAGGGATTTTTAAATTTAAAACAGCGATAGAAGAAGGATCTTTTGTCTTTCATAGACGTTTTACCAAGAGCCCCGAACTATTTATATTCCATTAGGGCAGACGCCGCATCGAAAAATTGTACGAAATCTAGCCTGTTTTGCAAGGCAAATAAATGCAATCGGCTCGCGCCCAGCAACAAATAAGTGAATATACATACCTAGTAATCATTTGAGAGGTTTTTATTAATAGAATGTGGAGCAACAAAGACGCAAAACCCAGGGGAAAAGGCTATTGTTTTCATTCAACAATTCCCCAATCGACAAGCCATTTTGTTCAAAATCACGCGCTTTTCGCCACGAAGCAACATGCTTTCCCGTCGTGCCGTACGTTATTTCCAGCAATTTGATTGGTTGTTTCGGTCACATGACGTTCTAACGAGCACGCTGATTGGTTCATTTCGCGAAGCTCATAGTTGTCGGAGAATTTGAACGCGAATTTTGTCGGGAAAGCAAGACAGGAGTGCGCAAAATAAGGCGAAATTTGTTGTGCTTTATTTACGCTCAATTTTATCTTTAAACTTTTGTTTTTGCACGAAATACGGTGAGTTCAGTGTATGCTCGAAGGTATTTTCATCCATGTACCATTTTTTATAGAAAATAGCAGTGTGTGTAACTTGGGTTGACCCATGCGGGGCCCCTTCACAAAAATTATGCGTGGGTTGGGGGAATGTTTTATGTTTATAAAACAAGAGTCCCATATTGTCACAAGGGGGTATAAGGGTTACGGGTATAACAGTTAGTGTAACATGGTGGTAAAGCTAAAATTGAAGAAGACATTTATCTGAATTAACATAGGCTATATAAAACATCATGGATAGCTATCCCAGTAGACTTGCCCCAGCCTGGACCTAGGCCTTCTAGTCTTATTTATATATTTTTAATATTCAGTGCTTTTTCACATGAAAAGACTGGGACTAGGTGATTGGGGGGGGGCAGGGCAGAGCTTGTGTCCTTCCTCTGCCACGCCCCCAAATCACCTAGTCCCAGTCTTTTCATGTGAAAAAGCACTGAATATTAAAAAAATATAAATAAAACTAGGAGGCCTAGGTCTAGGCTGGACTTGCCCCATGCAAGTCTCTCTCAAATGGGTTTTGATAGGGTATATCCAGTTTATGATGAGATCAGTCACTCCGTTTCAAGTTCAAAACTGATCTCATAATAAACTGGATATACCCTATCAAAACCCATTCGAGAGAGACTTGGGACCCAGCAGATTTGGACCCCTGGATGAAAATGGATGCCCTGGTCCAAATCCGCTAGCAAATATGGACCAGGGAATCCATATCCACTAGTGAATATGGGCCTATGGGGGTCTTGGTCTATGGACTTTGCTCACAAATTTGGACCCCTCCCATATTTTATCATTGTATCATCTTGGATAGTCCACAACTAGTAGAATTAATTCTTAAATCGAAAAAATATGTGGGGAGCAGAGACGGATTTTCATATTTTTGTTCGGGGGGGGGGTGGATAAATATCTGGGGGGGGTGCTGCTTGCTTTGGCCGGGGCCTGGTGGCAACGCCCAGAAAGGCCAACGAAAAAGTTTAACAAAATTTGTTTTCTAGGCCTGCATGGTGAGATCGGAGACCATAAATTATATTGGTAATTTTACTAATTTAGTAGTAAGAATAATCAAATATGAAACTACCAAATCAAAATATATATAATTTGCAGGGGTGCAAAAAGTTTTGGGGGCGGTGCCAAATGCCTTTGGGGGGGGGTGCAAATCATTTTGGGGGGGGGGTGCGCACTCCCCCAGAAAATCTGTGCCTGGTCGGAGTCCAAATCCGCTGTGACACTGGGCTTACAGTAAAGGCTGTTTTCCACTTCAATGGTAACAAATAGCATTTTCTTTGGGGTCGAAGGCATTGGTGCCACTTTAGTGCTCAAGAAACAAACAAATATGCTACGCTTCAGTAATCAGTATGATATGGTGGAAGTGGAAACAGCCTTACGGGTTGGATCACAGCTTTTGAGAAACCACACTGGTTGCTTAGCAAGTCAAAGCTCTTGGGAAGGCTCCATGATGCGATCTCAGCAGACACAGCGTTAGTCCATGTGCCCGTCACAAGACAGTATGTTGTTGTCTTTTCATAATGTTGGCTTTGCTTATGTCAAACATCACATGTTTACTTAGATTGCCAGGTTAACTTCTGTAGTAACACTGGACCAATGATAGTCTGTTTCACAGCCACTCTTTGTGTTGTTAGACCAACAAGAGATTGCTCTAAATGGACCTTGAGGGAAAACAGTTTAGAACTGGTAGAGCTATCCATTTGTAGTAAAGTCATATGGTAAAGATGATTTGTAAACATGGACTTTGTCACACAAGTCTCGTGTTTAAAAAACAAAATTTAATTAATTAATATGCCAGATTAGGTAATAGGCATGCCCCCTGGTACCGCTAGGGCGGATATACGTCAGACATCTCGTGATTGTCCCATGCACATGTCAACAAAACAATGGAATTGGAATAAATTTGACACTTGTCTGAGGTCAGGTGTCGCGAGCTAAACTGGTGATTCTACATCGACATTTTTAGACAAAAAAACCCAACTATGAAGCTTTTGATATTTGCGTGTCTCGTCGCTGTGGGTAAGAGTGCATTTTTACAATTACTTTACACAAAATCTCCTGAAAAAGCAGCTTTATTTTGCGTGTGGGAAAGTTTAAACTCGCATTACGTTGCGACTGCCACAGGTTGCAATTTGTACCGAAGCGTCTGACAAATGTTATGTTGTGTCTTGAATTACTTTTCCTTGTGCCTTCAGGGCAGAAAACTTAATAAAATAAAAGTTAGACAGTGTTTAGAGCTTGAGGGAAGCCAATCCTGTGAGGTAGACATATTTTTAAAACTTCTTTCGAACAAATGTTTCAAGGAAATGTTTGCAAGCAGGAATTGCAACACACCTGTTACATTTCAAAACGGAGTTTTGACGCTTATTTCCTCTTTGTAATTTACTTGATTTTCCACGTAAAACTACACCGCTTTACAAGTTTTTGCGTTAATTTTTGGTTTGAAGTGTCCTCTTTATAGATATTGAGTTTTGTTTGTGTTTTCGTTCTGCACTATTACGTTTCAATTAAAATTGAAATTCTACATATATAAGCATGTGATGAAAATTATCGAGGAAGTGAAATATGGAATTGTGAAAGTCTTGTGAAATTTAGCAAGGTTTCGTTTTCAATACTGGGTACTGTACTGTGAATTAATATTTCTATGATATATACATATATATTCCTCAGTCCTGTTTATGTTGAAATTGCAGTTAGGGATTGCTCAATAATAAAATTAGAGGTGATGATATCTCAAAGAAAACAGGGGGGGGGAGGGCAGATCTTCAGGTAGTTCAGACACAAACCACGAAAGTTTATTGTAGAATACTTAACCTACACTGGACCACCACACTTGAGATATCTTTTTCAGGTAGTTCAGACACAAACCACAATGCCTATAATAATAATAATATAATGCCTATGGTAGAATACTACCTACACTGGACCACCACACTCGAGATATCCTTTTCAGGTAGTTCAGACACAAACCCCAGCAGCTTACTAGTGGAGAAAACTACACTGGACCACCATGTTCGAGACATTTTTCAGGTAGTTCAGACCGAGACACAAACCATGACAGCTTATTGTAGAAGCTAGTGTATACTACTTACATTGGACTACTGTGTTTGAGATATCACAAGTTTTATTGAGCAATCCCTAATTGACTATGAACACTAAATAAGTATATTTCATAGTTGTAAATTGTCCTTGAAAGTTATTAAAGGTGTATGCCTGTAACGATTTTTGTAGCCTGTGCTTATCCAAGCCGACTTGGTGAAGAGAAATGTACATATGGTCCCTCATACTGGTGCGAAAACTACAAACAGGCCGACAAATGTCAGGCCATTGAGCACTGCAGAAAATATGTGTGGAAAGCCAAGGGGGTGTGTATTAAGAATTTGTTATCAGAATTAAAATTAGCCAGGGAAGAATTATAGTTGTCTTATACTTTCTCAGTCTCATATGGGAAGAGTAGCGACTCATTGTGTATAGTAATTCTTGTTTATTTCAGGCTGACCAATGTGATGATTGCAAAGCTGCCATAACACAACTCCACACGTTTGTGACTACCAATTCGACGAAAGTCATTGAAATATTGAAAAATATCTGTGCTGGACTTAAAACTGAATCTACTATGGTAATATAACAACATTTTTATTTGGGTTTTTAGGTTTATTGTAAGTTACTGATGAAAGTGTGAAAATATGTGGAAATGTTTGTTTTAGTGCAAGTTTTATGTTGAGACATATGGAAGTGGGGTTGTTGCTGCACTTACAGAAATAACAGTGAGTGTTAATTGAGTTTTATAATTTGAAAATTATTGATGTGCAGTTGAGCATGATCAATACATCATTATCACTGCTAGTCTACTACCATCATCACTATAACTAGCACCATAATCAGCACCATCATCACCATCATCGTCACCATCATCGTCACCATCATTACTGTCGTTCCAATTGAAGTGTTGCTGAAATATTGATTCAATACATTACCTCGGGCTGACCAATTCATTTCATCAAGTTCCTCGAGATATTCATACACTTCCTAGTATAATTGTAAACTTCCTGTTGAATAGTTTGAATGCACCAATCACCTTTGTTGCTTATGCAACTAACCAATCATAAATAGAAAGGAAGTGACCAGAAATGATCAAATACTTGGAATTGGCTCTTTCACAGGAAGTGTATGAATATCTCGAGGAACTTGATCAAATGAATTGGTCAGCCCGAGGTAATGTATTGAAACAATATTTCAGCAACACTTCAATTGGAACGACAGTAATTATCATCATCATCACCATCATCATCATTACCATTATCATCATCACCAGCATCGTCATCATCATCATTTCATCATCATTTCATCATCATTATCACCATTATCATCACCATTATCATCATGATCATCATCATCACCATCACCATCATCATCATCACCATCATCATCACCATCATCATCATCACCATCATCATCATTACCATCATCACCATTATCATCATCACCAGCATCATCATCACCATCATCATCATCACCATCATTACCATTATCATCATCACCAGCATCATCATCACCATCATCATCATCATCATCATCATCATCACCATCACCATCATCATCATCACCATCATCATCATCACCATCATCATCATCACCATCATCATCATCACCATCATCATCATCACCATCATCATCATCATCATCATCATCATCATCACCATCATCATCATCATCATCATCATCATCATCATCATCACCATCATCATCATCACCATCATCATCATCACCATCATCATCATCATCATCACCATCATCATCACCATTATCATCATTACCATTATCATCGTCATCATCATCATTTCATCATCATCATTTCATCATCATTATCACCATTATCATCACCATTATCATCATTATCATCATCATCATTATCACCAGTATCATCATCATTATCACCACTATCGCCATCATCACTACCACCTTCATCATCATTTTATCACCATTACCATCATTATCCTTAATCTTATTCTTTTTGCTCCATCTCAGTCTGACAGTGAAAAACTTTGCCAAGAGCTTGAATTGTGTACTGGTGGAAAAATTCAAATCATGCGAGAAATCTTTGTCAAGAAATTGAAAACTCATCCTTACATCATCGCTCTTAAATCTGTGAAGGTGAGTCAATGACTTGCCATCTAACCTGTTGTGAACATCATCTATCAAATCTAGAGCAACCTGCCTGCCCTTTCTAAATGTATCCATGGAAATGATCGTTATTTTTCCTTGCCATTTAGGCAGATTATTGTGAAGACTGCAAGCTTGTCTTTAGTGAAATTAAAGATCTCTTGGAGGACAAAGATATGCAGGTAAGAGGAAGTAAAGGAAGGGTGATAGAATGAAGGATTCTAGGGTGGAGAAGAGAGAGGCAATTAAAAAAGAATGAAGAAAGGAGATATAAAATTTCTCTCCTGAAATGCTATATTTTGTTTTGTATAGAAAGAAATTATTGCTGCATTGGAAGCCCTATGCACTGAGTTTGGAAGCTTTGCTGATCAAGTACGTTTTCTGCTTCAATGTGGGTGTTTAATGAGTACTGTAATAAATCTTGACTGTGTATGATTGTTGTATCTATAGTGCAAGAGTTATATTGACCAGTACCTCCCCCTGATTTTGGATGAACTGGCTACTTTGGATGTGAGTAACTTTTCTTTTAGTGTTATGTATGTAGTTTTAATGTCACATTATCTATGGCAGCTAATTCTATACTTTAAAATTCTACTACCAGGATCCAACCGAGATTTGCAACGAGCTTGGTCTCTGTAACTCAACACAGAAGGCTGCGGGTATTCTGCAACCTCCATCAAAGAAGCTTTTAATCCCCATAATGCCTGGACCTGTGATCTTCACTCCTCCTGAGAAGAAAGAGAAATCAGCTGATGTATGTCTCCCCAAACATTAAGCTTCAGTTAACTTATGTTGTTCTTGGGGTAGAAATGAGATACAAGATGGGAAAGTGAACTAGTTGCTAGAATTAAATAACCTTATTTATAATGGATAATTCCAAGAGTTCTAAACTGTCCTTCCTAGAGATTCTATAAAGATCTCTTACTGATCCAGTGTTATCCAGAGCTATCCAGTGTAAATAAAGATAGTTTAGTTTCTATAGTGACTGATAATTGCTTATTTCAGGCTGACCAATGCGATGAATGTAAAGCTGCTGTAACACAACTCCACACGTTGCTGACCACCAATTCAACAAAAGTTCTTGAAATATTGAACAATGTCTGTGCTGGACTTAAAAAGGGGCCTGCCGAGGTAATAACAACATTTTTGTTTGGGATTGTTAGGGTAGTGTTATTATAAATTTTAGTGATGAAAGTGTGCAAATATATGGAAATGTTTGTTTTAGTGCAAGGTTGCTGTTAGCTTATATGGAAAGCAGGTTATTGCTGCACTTACAGAAATAACAGTAAGTGTTAATTAGCTGAGTTTTATAGTATGATAATTACTGTGCAGTTGAGTATGTTTGTCATTGACTACTACCATATCATTGCCATCATTACCATCATCATCATCATCTTCACACCACCACTATCACCACCATCATCACCACTACTACTACCATTGTCACCATTACTGTCATTGTCACCATTATCACCATTATCACCATTACACCATTGTCACCATTACCACCATTGTCACTATTACCACCATTGTCACCATTACCACCATTGTCACCATTATCACCATTGTCACCATTACACCATTGTCACCATTACCACCATTGTCACTATTACCACCATTGTCACCATTACCACTATTGTCACCATTATCACCATTGTCACCATTACACCATTGTCACCATTACCACCATTGTCACTATTACCACCATTGTCATAATTACCATCATTGTCACCATTACCACCATTGTCACCATTTCCACCATTGTCACCATTACACCATCATCACCACTACTACTACCATTGTCACCATTACTGTCATTGTCACCATTATCACCATTATCACCATTACACCATTGTCACCATTACCACCATTGTCACCATTATCACCATTGTCATAATTACACCATTGTCACCATTACCACCATTGTCACTATTACCACCATTGTCACCATTACACCATTGTCACCATTACCACCATTGTCACTATTACCACCATTGTCACCATTACCACCATTGTCACTATTACCACCATTGTCATAATTACCATCATTGTCACCATTTCCACCATTGTCACCATTACCACCATTGTCACCATTACCACCATTGTCACCGATACCACCATTGTCACCGATACCACCATTGTCACCATTATCACCATTATCACCATCATCACCAGAAACACTTCTATCATGAACATCAATATAATACAATACCATTGCATTATTAACACTATCACAACCATTATTTCAGTACCTGCATCATCACCATAACTGCCACCACATAACCACCATCATAACCACTATCACAACTATCATTCTCACCACCCCCATCATCATCGCCGTCATCATCACCACCATTCATCATCACCACCATTCATCATCACCACCATTCTTCATCACCACCATTCTTCATCACCACCATTCATCATCACTACTACGATCATCACCAACATTACCTGATCATCATTAATCTCATTATTTCTGCTCCATCTCAGTCTGACAGTGCAAAACTTTGCCAAGAGCTTGAATTGTGTACTGGTGGAAAAATTCAAATCATGCGAGAAATCTTTGTCAAGAAATTGAAAACTCATTCTTACATCGTCGCTCTTAAATCTGTGAAGGTGAGTCAATGACTTGCCATCTAACCTATTGTGTACATCACCTATCAAATCTATAGTAACCTGCCTGCCCTTTCTAAATGTATCCATGGAAATGATTGTTATTTTCCCTTGCAATTTAGGCAGATTATTGTGAAGACTGCAAGCTTGTCTTTAGTGAAATTAAAGATCTCTTGGAGGACAAAGATATGCAGGTAGGAGGAAGTAAAGGAAGGGTGATAGAATGAAGGATTCTAGGGTGGAGAAGAGAGAGGCAATTAAAAAGAATGAAGAAAGGAGATATAAAATTTCTCTCCTGAAATGCTATATTTTGTTTTGTATAGAAAGAAATTATTGCTGCATTGGAAGCTCTATGCACTGAGTTTGGAAGCTTCGCTGATCAAGTACGTTTTCTGCTTCAATGTGGGTGTTTAATGAGTACTGTAATAAATCTTGACTGTGTATGATTGTTGTATCTATAGTGCAAGAGTTATATTGACCAGTACCTCCCCCTGATTTTGGATGAACTGGCTACTTTGGATGTGAGTAACTTTTCTTCTAGTGTTATGTATGTAGTTTTAATGTCACAATCTATGGCAGCTAATTCGATACTTTAAAATTCTACTACCAGGATCCAACCGAGATTTGCAACGAGCTTGGTCTCTGTAACTCAACACAGAAGGCTGCGGGTATTCTGCAACCTCAATCAAAGAAGCTTTTAATCCCCATAATGCCTGGACCTGTGATCTTCACTCCTCCTGAGAAGAAAGAGAAATCAGCTGATGTATGTCTCCCAAAACGTTAAGCTTCAGTTAACTTATGTTGTTCTTGGGGTAGAAATGAGATACAAGATGGGAAAGTGAACTAGTTGCTAGAATTAAATAACCTTATTTATAATTGATAATTCCAAGAGTTCTAAACTGTCCTTCCTAGAGATTCTATAAAGATCTCTTATTGATCCAGTGTTATCCAGAGCTATCCAGTGTAAATAAAGATAGTTTAGTTTCTATAGTGATTATAATTGTTTATTTCAGGCTGACCAATGCGATGAATGTAAAGCTGCTGTAACACAACTCCACACTTTGCTAACTACCAATTCAACAAAAGTTCTTGAAATATTGAACAATGTCTGTGCTGGACTTAAAACGGGGTCTGCCGAGGTAATAACAACATTTTTGTTTGGGATTGTTAGGTTAGTGTTATAAATTTTAGTGATGAAAGTCTGCAAATATATGGAAATGTTTGTTTTAGTGCAAGTTTGCTGTTGCCACATATGGAAATCAGGTTATTGCTGCACTTACAGAAATAACAGTAAGTGTTAATTAGCTGAGTTTTATAGTATGATAATTACTGTGCAGTTGAGCATGATCATCATTGACACCACATTTTCATCACTGACTACTACATATCATCTTCACACCACCACTATCACCACCATCATCATCACTACCACCATTGTCACCACTACCACCATTGTCACCATTACCACCATTGTCACCACTACCATCATTGTCACCACTACCACCATTACTACCATTGTCACCACTACCACCATTGTCACCATTACCACCATTGTCACCACTACCACCATTGTCACCACTACCACCATTGTCACCATTACCACCATTGTCACCACTACCACCATTACCACCACTACCACCATTGTCACGATTACCACCATTGTCACCACTACCACCATTACCACCATTGTCACCACTACCACCATTGTCACCATTACCACCATTGTCACCATTACCACCATTGTCACCATTATGAACATCAAGATATAACAATACCATTGCATTATTAACACTATCACAACCATCATTTCAGTACCTGCATCATTATCACCATAACTGCCACCACATAACCACCTCCATCATCACAACCATCATTGTCATCATCACTGTCATCAACACCACCACCATCATCACCATCATTGTCATCATCATCACCACCATGATCACCACCATCATCATCACCATCATTATCATCATCACCACCATCATCATCACCATCATTATCATCATCATCACCATCATTATCATCATCACCACCATCATCATCATCACCATCATTATCATCATCACCACCATCCTCATCACAACCATCATTGTCATCATCACTATCATCACCACCATCATCATCACCACAGAGTATCATCGTCACCATTACCACTGCCATTGCCAACATTATAATCATTATCCTTAATCTCATTCTTTCTGCTCCATCTCAGTCTGACAGTGCAAAACTTTGCCAAGAGCTTGAAATGTGTACTGGTGGAAAAATTAAAATCATGAGGGAAATCTTTGTCAAGAAATTGAAAACTCATCCTTACATCGTCGCTCTTAAATCCGTGAAAGTGAGTCAATGACTTGCAATCTAACCTGTTGTGAACACTTTACAACATCATCTACATGTATCATATTTATAGCAATCTGCCTGCCCTTTCTGAATGTATCTAAAGAAATTGACAGTATTTTCTCTTGCAATTTAGGCAGATTATTGTGAAGACTGCAAGCTTGCCTTTGGTGAAATTAAAGATCTCTTGGAGGACAAAGATATGCAGGTAGGAGGAAGTAAAGGAAGGGTGATAGAATGAAGGATTCTAGGGTGGAGAAGAGAGAGGCAATTAAAAAAGAATGGAGAAAGGAGATATAAAATTTCTCTCCTGAAATGCTATATTTTGTTTTGTATAGAAAGAAATTATTGCTGCATTGGAAGCTCTGTGCACTGAGTTTGGAAGCTTTGCTGATCAAGTACGTTTTCTGCTTCAATGTGGGTGTTTAATGAGTAATAAGTCTTGACTGCCTGCTCAACTATTGGACATTTAAACTATGTATGATTATTGTATCTTTAGTGCAAGAGTTATATTGACCAGTATCTCCCCCTGATTTTGGATGAACTGGCCAGCTTGGATGTGAGTAACTTTTCTTCTGTTAGGACTATTAACCTTTTGGAGGAGACTCCTTGATATCCAACTGTGTTACAAATGTAGTGTTGTGTAGTTTTAAGGCACAAACTATTGCAGCTAATTCTATACTTTAAAATTCTACTACCAGGATCCAACCGAGATTTGCAACGAGCTTGGTCTCTGTAACTCGACACAGAAGGCTGCGGGTATTGTGAAAGCTTTGAACATTCTACAACCTCAATCAAAGAATCTTTTAATCCCCATGATGATGCCTGGACCTGTGCTCACTCCTCCTGAGAAGAAAGAGAAATCAACTGATGTATGTCTCCCAAAACTTTAAGCTTCAGACTTTATATTGTTCTTGGGTTACAAGTGAGATACAAGATGGAAAAGTGAACTAGTTGCTAGAATTAAATAACCTTTTTTATAATGGATAATTCCAAGCGTTTTAAACTATCCTTCCTAGAGACCCAATAAGGATCATCGCTTATTGATCCAGTGTTATCCAGAGCTATCCAGTGTAAATAAAGATAGTTTAGTTTCTATAGTGATTATATAGAGAATAATACACGGTGCGCGGAAATACCAGATTTATTTCGAGTGATGAACATGATACCTCACGAGTGAGCGCAGCGAACAAGTGAGATATCATGTTCATTGTTCAACACGAGAAACAAATCTGGTATTTCCAAGCACCCATGTATTTTTTTGTTTATTATATAAACAAAATTCAGTGAAAAACAATAAAACGTCCGTGGCAATGCGTTTTACAACAAATGATATTTTCACACGTAAAAATATCGTATTTTTTACGTGTGTTTAAATACGATTTTTTTTAGTGGCCAAAAACTCTATATAACACTTATGTTTATATAATAAAATTGTTTATTTCAGGCTGACCAATGCACTGAGTGTAAAGCTGCGGTAACACAACTCCACACTTTGCTGACTACCAATTCAACAAAAGTTATTGAAATATTGAACAATGTCTGTGCTGGACTTAAAACAGGGGCGGCCGAGGTAATAACAACATTTTTGTTTGGGATTGTTAGGTTAGTGTTATAAATTTTACTGATGAAAGTCTGAAAATATATGGAAATGTTTGTTTTAGTGCAAGTTTGCTGTTGCCACATATGGAAGTCAGATTATTGCTGCACTTACAGAAATAACAGTAAGTGTTAATTAGCTGAGTTTTATAGTATGGTCATTATTGTGCAGTTGAGTATGATCATCATTGACACCACATTTTCATCACTGACTACTACATATCACCATCATCATCTTCACACCACCACCACCACCATCATCACCATCATCATCACCATCATCATCACCATCATCATCACCATCATCATCACCATCATCATCACCATCATCATCACCATCATCATCACCATCATCGCCATCATCATCACCATCATCATCACCATCATCATCACCATCATCATCACCATCATCATCACCATCATCGCCATCATCACGCCATCATCATCACCATCATCATCACCATCATCATCACCATCATCATCTTCACACCACCATCATCACACCACCACCATCATCATCACCACTGTCATCGCCATCATTATCCTTAATCTCATTCTTTCTGCTCCATCTCAGTCTGACAGTGCAAAACTTTGCCAAGAGCTTGAAATGTGTACTGGTGGAAAAGTTCAAATCATGCGGGAAATCTTTGTCAAGAAATTGAAAACTCATCCTTACATCGTCGCTCTTAAATCCGTGAAAGTGAGTCAATGACTTGCAATCTAACCTGTTGTGAACACTTTAGAACATCGTCTACATGTATCGTATTTATAGCAATCTGCCTGCCCTTTCTGAATCTATCCAAAGAAATTGACAGTATTTTCCCTTGCAATTTAGGCAGATTATTGTGAAGACTGCAAGCTTGTCTTTAGTGAAATTAAAGATCTCTTGGAGGACAAAGATATGCAGGTAGGAGGAAGTAAAGGAAGGGTAATAGAATGAAGGATTCTAGGGTGGACAAGAGAGGGGCAATTAAAAAAGAATGAAGAAAGGAGATATAAAATTTCACTCCTGAAATGCTATGTTTTGTTTTGTTTTGTTTTGTATAGAAAGAAATTATTGCTGCATTGGAAGCTCTTTGCACTGAGTTTGGAAGCTTTGCTGATCAAGTATGTTTTCTGCTTCAGTGTGGGTGTTTAATGAGTAATAAGTCTTGACTGCCTGCTCAACTATTGTGCATTTATACTATGTATGATTATTGTATCTTTAGTGCAAGAGTTATATTGACCAGTATCTCCCCCTGATTTTGGATGAACTGGCCACCTTGGATGTAAGTAACTTTTCTTCTGTTAGGACTATTAACCTTTTGGAGGAGACTCCTTGATATCTAATTGTGTTACATATGTAGTGTTGTGTAGTTTTAAGGCACAATCTATGGCAGCTAATTGTATACTTTAAAATTCTATTACCAGGATCCAACCGAGATTTGCAACGAGCTTGGTCTCTGTAACTCGACACAGAAGGCTGCGGGTATTGTGAAAGCTTTGAACATTCTGCAACCTCAATCAAAGAATCTTTTAATCCCCATGATGATGCCTGGACCTGTGATCCTGACTCCTGAGAAGAAAGAAAAATCAACTGATGTATGTCTCCCAAAACTTTAAGTTTCAGACTTTATGTTGTTCTTGGGTTACAAGTGAGATACAAGATGGAAAAGTGAACTAGTTGCTCTAACTAAGTAACCATATTTATACTGGATAGCTTTATCAGTTATAAACTGTTCTTCCTAGAGGTCCATCATATCTTATTGATCCAGTGTTACTACAGGAGGAAACCTAAACTAAACTAACTTCATTTATACTGGATAGTTTTATCAGTTCTAAACTGTTCTTCCAATTCTAAATTTCAGTTATTGACTGAGTTCTGCTGCAGCTGGAGTTTGTGTAGAAAACATGTGATATCGAACTCTCTTCTCGGATGAGACTGAAGTGAAATTATAATCACACAACGGCATATTGCAGAAATCAAACTCTGTTCAATAAGGTGCGCCACCAATGCCCCTTGATTGTAGTTTTCTATTTGACCGTCATTATTTTAGGACAAATGTGACGAATGCAAAGCAGCCGTGAAACAAGTGCATTATTATCTTGTCAATAACTCCACTAAGATCCTTGCTATCATGAAAAAGTTGTGTCCCACTCTTGTGCCTGCAGCTGAGGTATGTTTGTAGATGGTTAAAAGCGTAATGGTATTTAATTCAAGTACTATTTGAAACACGAGTAGGAGTGTTTTGTCAGATATAAAACGCGAGGCGCAGCCGAGCGTTTTATGTCTGATAAAACACGACAACGAGTGTTTTGAATAGCTTAAAATACGACTACAAAAGAATAATAATTAGGATGAACCAATGTATAATCATACTAATGAGGATGAACTATTATATAATGCCACATGCTTTATCAGATATAAAGTCTCTCCACGTGACATGTTATGGCTGACATGATTTGCCACAAGGTTTATGAATGTGTATTTTAAGTCAGTAAATTTGTCTGGTCTTCATAACTTCAATCATCGTTATATATTTTCTAGCACTTTTGTATGATTGTAAAGCTAGTAAATAAATAGATTCTATGGTTAACTCGTAACGTGGTATAAAATATTTAAATATTGTATGTTTAGTGCAATCTTATTCTTGGTTTGTATGGAGAAATGATTATTGAAACACTAAAGAATGCGACGGTGAGTTTGTTCGATAATTATATGTTGAAGATTAAAACAACTAAAATTTCTACCATCAGAAACACCTGTATCATTAACATCAATATAACAATATCATTGCATTATCATCACTATCACATCATTTCAGTACCTGCACCATTATCACTACCACCACATATCACCACCATCGTCATCACCCACCATCATCACTACCACCATCATCAACACCACCATCACTACCACCACATAACACCCATCATCACCACCATCATCATCACCACCATCAACATTAACACTATCATCACTACCATCAAAATCATCACCACCATCACCACCACCACCAACTTCAACATTAACACTATCATCACTACCATCAAAATCATCAACACCATCATCATCACCACCACCAACTTCGCCACCATCGTCATCACCACCACCAAAATTTGCCACCATCATCATCACCACCAACTTCGCCATCACCAACTTCGCCATCACCAACTTCGCCATCACCAACTTCGCCATCACTACCATGCATTATTCATCATTCTACTCTACTGTACCTTCAGGCTAATGGTGAAAAACTTTGCCAAGAACTTGAAATGTGTCCTTCCACTCACAAAGAAGAAATTATCAAGACACTGCTCCTCAAAAATCTCAAAATGCACCCTAAAATCATTGCTCTTAAATCTGTGAAGGTTAGCCTCTTCCTTAATAGGTTTTATTTGCCTTCAAAAAATATGTTTGAGTGTAAGCATATAGGTGAGTTTCACAAAACACTATCATGCGTTAGGTGGTCGTAAATCTGTGGTTAGCAGAGTGAGAAAATAATGCCAATTCTTTTCATTCTACGTATTGGTCTTGTACTGTATTTGATGGCAAATAAATAGCATTTGAGAAATCTAGTGTAATTTTCTTATTTCTACAAGTGTAAACATTTCTGAAGACCGTCATGTGCTGGCCTGTCAAGGTTGATTTACACACTGTTAATAGACTAAGATTTACACTAGACAACTTTTAGTAAAACTGTCGCTACTTACAACTTGAGTTGTACTGTGTAAATGAAGTACACAACACATCTACGACAACGTGAGTGAGTTGTATACATAGATATCTTATATACACTAGATAGTGCATTTAATTATTCTGCAATTCAAAAATTGAAGCCGTGATTGCAGACTCAGGTCGTTCCCATGAAATGAGAAGATTCGTATGTTTTCTATTTCCTAAACAGGGAACTTAAACATTAAGTTAAACCTATTCCAAATACGTCTTTAAACTATTCAAATGATGAAAGTTATTTTTGTTTTTAAGCGTTTATTAGCAAGTGGGAACGACCGTTATGGCCGCCATCTATTCAAATGGGGGTAACCGCTGGAATATTCTTGGCTTCAATTTTAATAAAAGAGATGCGCTATCTAGTGTATATAAGATATCTATGGTTGTATACTTGATTTACACAGTACAACTCAAGTTGCAAGCAGGTTGCATGCGACAGTTTTAGGCAAAATTTGTGTGGTGTAAATCAGCCTTAACGCTGACTAAAAACCCGCCAATTAATCGATTACAATACATGACATTTTGCGTTGATGTTTAGGCGGATTATTGCAACGATTGCAAACTTGTCTTTGCTGAGATCAAGGATCTGTTGGAAGATAAATCAATGCAGGTAAAAGAGACTGATGATGTCAATGATAATGATGATGGTGGTGATGGTAATAGCACAGATTAAGTATGGATGATGGTAGTGGTAATACAGAGGTTCACATTTGACTTCCCTTACCTCTCACTGTCTCGGTACGCATCTGATTGGTTAATCGGGTAGATTAAACGCGTCTGATTGGTTAATCGGATAGATTAAACGCATCTGATTAGTTAATCGGATAGATTAAACGCGTCTGATTGGTTAATCGGGTAGATTAAACGCATTTGATTGGTTTATCGGGTAGATTAAACGCATATCATTGGTTAATGGTCCCACAATGGTAGCGGTACTGGTGGTGGAAGTCAAATTTGAGCCTCGATGGCGGCGGTGATGATGATAATAGTCAAGGTGTAACTTAACACTTGCCCGGGGCAAGTGAATATCATGACGGGCAAGTAATTGTTTTATCCCTTGCCACAAAAAGCTTAGCCTCCGTAACGCAGACCGTGTTTCGCTCCAAAAAGCTGGGCATCTTTAAGTTTATGTTTTCATTGCCAGATAAATTTTTTATAGTGCATGACTGCATGTACTTGATTCAAATTTTGTTTTTTGTGGGCCAAAGCTAGATATGAGGTAGTGTAACATAGCCATATAGAGCAGTGGCAGAACGGGTCGACATGTTGTCCCATTAATTTATACCCCCTTTGTACCGCAGTGGCCATCATTGTCTGACGGCAAGTGAATTTTATTCCGGGCGACTAATTTTCATGTCCAACTTGAGTGATCAAAAAAGTTAAGTTACACAACTGTATGTTCTCTCTTGTTTTATATAGCAAGAAATTATATCTCTCGTCGAGACTCTTTGCACTGAACTGGGAAGTTTTGCTGACCAAGTAAGCTCGCAGCTCTATAGATCATTTTTTATATTTTGATAGACGGTTAGCTGGCTCACTGTATTGTGTGTTTACGAATCTACATTTTATTCACAGTGCAAGACTTATGTTGATGCATACCTGCCTTTAATCTTGGAGGAACTGGCCACATTGGATGTAAGTTAATTTTTCTGTTAATGAAAAGTTACACAAGATCTTTGAAACTAAACTAGCCTTGTTTATACTAAATAGTTCTCTGTGGTTGTGCATTCCCTCCCAACGAAATGAATGACATGATGGCAAGGAGAACAGTAGGATTTTCAAAACATTGAAAAGACAATGAAACATTCCGATCGTGACTGGGTCAAATAGCTTGTAATAAAGGCCAAGGAGACCCATTGCAAGATGGATGGACTGCTAAACTGACCAGCCACAAACTCGGGAAACGTATTTGAGAAATGGTCACAAGCTTATCTTCTGCCTTTTTAGGATCCAACCACACTTTGCACCGAGCTTGGTCTTTGCAACTCGACAAAGAACGGTGTAGATGTTTTGGAAGCAGTGCGTCTCGTTCCAGCCAAAACGAAAAGCGCGAAAGTAGAAGCTGATCCTAAGTGTGATTTCTGTGTATTTGTTATGAAAAAGGTGGACAGTATGTTGGGAGATAATGCTACCAAGGTTTGTGATGCCGGTTATGATGGTGATAGTGATGTTGGTGATGATGATGATGGTGATTATCTGGCAATGGTGGAGGTGATGATAGTGCCCTGGTGGTATTGAAGGTGCTGGTGAAATAGTGTAACTAAAAGTTGTCGTAATTTCGGTTCTCTCTTTATTGCAGGAAGAAATTGAAGCAGTTTTAGAGAAAGTGTGTATGATTTTCCCATCACCAACTGAATTAAAGGCAAGTTACATTACTTTATGTTGATTGTTCAGATACTGTACAAACCACGTTGTAGAATACTACCTACACTTGACCACCACGAAATCCAAGATATTTGACTTTACTCTGAATTGTGTCTCAATCTTACTTTTAGTGTCTTACATTCATGGATAAATATCGTGTGGTAATTGTTAAACTTCTTTTGCAAGGACTGCAGCCTGAGAAAATCTGTACTGAGCTTGGTTTGTGTCCTTCAAAACCCGTCAAACGTAAGCAAAGAAACTGATATGAATATAGTGTTTACTGATAAGAAAATTACTACATGGTATGAACCCTTCGCGTAACACTTAGAAATCAACTATGGTGCTATCCAATCATGATTCATTGATCAGAATGTTCCATTGTCTTTGTTCATTTGTTCCTCGTCTCGTTACAGCCAAAGTAGAAGCTGGTCCTGAATGTATTCTCTGTGAATTTGCTATGAGAGAGCTGGACAGTATCTTGGGAGATAATGCTACCAAGGTATGTGGTGGTTATGATGATGGTGGTGGTGATGGATGATGATATTGATGATAATGGTAATGATGTTGGTTACGAAAATGATGATTATCTGGCAATGGTGGAGATGAATGATGGTGGTGATGATGGCGATGATAGTAATGTTGGTAATGAAAGTGATGATTGTGATGATAATGGTGATTATCTGACAATGGTGGAGGTGATGATGGTTTTGGGTATGGTGCTGGTGGTTAAACGGTGTACCTAAAAGTTGTGATAATTTCGGTTCTCTTTTCATTACAGGAAGAAATTGAAGCAGCTTTAGAGAAAGTCTGTTCCTTGCTCCCGTCAACAATTAAATCTGAGGTAAGTTGCCTTGCCCTACTTTATTTTTGAGAGTGCTCATTGTTCAGATACAAACCACGACAGCGTATTGTAGAATACCTACACATGACCACCACGAAATCCAAGATTTGACTTCACTCTGAATTGTATCTCAATCTTACTTTTAGTGTGATACATTCGTGGAGGAATATGGTCCGGAAATTCTTAAACTTCTTTTGCAAGAACTGCAGCCTGATCAAATCTGTGCTGAGCTTGGTTTGTGTTCTTCAAAACCTGTCAAACGTAAGCAAAGAAACTGATATGAATACAGTGTTTATTGATAAGAAAATTACTACATGGTATGGACCCTTCGCGTAACACTTAGAAATCAATTATTGTGCTATCCAACCATGATTCATTGATCAGTATGTTCCATTTGTCTTTTTTCAATTGTTCCGCATCTCGTTACAGCCAAAACGAAGAGCGTGAAAGTAGAAGCTGGCCCTGAATGTATTCTCTGTGAATTTGCTATGAGAGAGCTGGACAGTATCTTGGGAGATAATGCTACCAAGGTATGTGATGGTGATGATGGTGGTGATGAATGATGGTGGTGATGATGGTGATGATGGTGACTATCTGACAATGGTGGATATGGTGATGAATGGTGGTGGTGATGAATGATGTCGATGATAATGATAATGATAATGATGGTTATGTTGGTAATGAAAATGATGGTTGCGGTGATGATGGTGATTATCTGGCAATGGTGGTGGTGATGGTGGTATTAATGGTGCTGGTGGTTAAATGGTGTACCTAAAAGTTGTCATAATTTCGGTTCTCTCTTCATTACAGGAAGAAATTGAAGCAGCTTTAGAGAAAGTGTGTTCCTTACTGCCGTCGACAATTAGATCTGAGGTAAGTTGCTTTGCCCTACTTTATTTTTTTAGAATGCTCATTGTTCAGATACAAACCACGACAGCTTATTGTAGAATACTAGTTATACTACCTACACTGGACCACCACGAAATCCAAGATTTGACTTTACTCTGAATTGTATCTCAATCTTACTTTTAGTGTGATATGTTAGTGAATAAATATGGTCCAGAAATTGTTCAACTTCTTTTGCAAGGGCTGCAGCCTGAGAAGATCTGTGCTGAGCTTGGTTTGTGTTCTTCAAAATCCGTCAAACGTAAGCAAAGAACTGATATGAATATAGTGTTTACTGATAAGAAAATTACTACATGGTATGGACCCTTAGCCCAACACTTAGAAATCAACTATGGTGCTATCCAATCATGATTCATTGATCAGAATGTTCCATTGTCTTTGTTCATTTGTTCATTTGTTTCTCGTCTCGTTACAGCCAAAACGAAGAGCGTGAAAGTAGAAGCTGGTCCTGAATGTATTCTCTGTGAATTTGCTATGAGAGAGCTGGACAGTATCTTGGGAGATAATGCTACCAAGGTATGTGGTGGTGATGATGGTGGTGGTGATGAATGATGGCGATGATAATGATAATGATGTTGGTGATGAAAATGATGATTGTGATGATAATCTGGCAATGGTGGTGATGAATGATGGCGATGATGATGATAATGATGTTGGTTACGAAAATGATGATTATCTGGCAACGGTGGACATGAATGGTGGTGGTGATGAATGATGGCGATGATAATAATGTTGGTAATGAAAGTGATGATTGTGATGATGATGATGATTATCTGGCAATGGTGGAGATGAATGATGGTGGTGGTGAATGATGGCGATGATGATAATGTTGGTAATGAAAGTGATGATTGTGATGATAATGGTGATTATCTGACAATGGTGGAGGTGATGATGGTGATATTGATGGTGCTGGTGGTTAAACGGTGTACCTAAGAGTTGTCATAATTTCTGTTCTCTCTTCATTACAGGAAGAAATTGAAGCAGCTTTAGAGAAAGTGTGTTCCTTACTGCCGTCAACAATTAGATCTGAGGTAAGTTGCCTTGCCCTACTTTGTTTTTTTAGAGTGCTCGTTGTTCATATACAAACCACGACAGCTTATTGTAGAATACTACCTACGCTGGTCCACCACGTTTGAGATATCTTCTTCAGGTACAGTAGTTCAGACACAAACCACGACAGCTTATTGTAGAATACTACCTACCGTACACTGGACCACCACGAAATCTACGATTTGACTCTGAATCTTACTTTTAGTGTGATACATTCGTGGAGGAATATGGTCCGGAAATTCTTAAACTTCTTTTGCAAGAACTGCAGCCTGATCAAATCTGTGCTGAGCTTGGTTTGTGTTCTTCAAAATCCGTCAAACGTAAGCAAAGAAACTGATATGAATACAGTGTTTATTGATAAGAAAATTACTACATGGTATGGACCCTTCGCGTAACACTTAGAAATCAACTATGGTGCCATTCAATGCCGTCTAGTCACGAATCAGTGATCGTAATGTTTCAATGTCCTTACATTGTTTTGAAAAACTGTATAGGTGGCCTGACAAGAACTAATAACCCTGCTATTAGTCAGCATGAGAACTAGGAGTGGTAGCAGGGGGTGACTGCTCTTCTTAAGCTACGTTTACACGCTGCAATTAATCGTGTACGATTCGTTTTCTCGCGTATGTCATTGAGTAAACACACGTAAGCTGGCCACATTTGAAATTTCGTTTTAATGAAACGGCAATGAATTATGGCGCCAGAATACGAATCGTACACGACAAATCGTAGCGTGTAAACCACAGAGTAGAGACATACAGAGACGTAACTAGTGTACCCACTTTTTTTGTGCGCATGTTCGGCAAGTTACTAGATGCATGCATCTGATTGGATAACGACCTGATGACGACTCACTTTAAACTTGCCGAGCACGCGCAGTTGATCATTTTTCGCCCGGTCGCCTGAAAAAAAAGTGGGTACATGAAAACGTAATCTTCCGCAGTGTTTACAACGGTCAGTTACGTCTCTGTATGTCTTATCTACTCTGTGGTGTAAACGTAGATTTACCTGTTGCTAAGAAGAGGCAGGTGCGTGGTTTTGACACCGTTATTAGACAGATTTAGATCGAGGACGCTGACGTCAAAGACGACGTAAAAATGGCGTGTTGTGCCTATGTATGTATATGCCACGTCATTTTCACCTCGTCTTTGACGTCCTCGATCTAAATCTGTCTATTTTTTCTCTCAGTTTCATTCAAGAAGCCGACTATCGACACGTGTGATGTGTGCAAAAACTCCGTCGAGTTTGTGGAAAACTTGGTTGAACAGTCTCTTGAACTTCTCATTAAGATAATATTAGGCGTAATATCACCCGATGAAGTCTGTAAGGTTGGTGACTGCTTTGTTTTTTCAGCCTTCTGAAACTATTCGCAACAACAAGTGCATGAGCCTTTCACCTCTGATTTCTTCCAGATTGACTTTACCAGACATCCTGTAGTAACACTGGACCTCTAGGAAGAACAGTTTAGAACTGATAGAACTACCCAGTATAATTAAAGTTAGTTTAGTTTAGGTTTCCTCCTATAGTAACACTGGATCAATAAAAGATGATTCTTACTAGACCTCTAGGAAGAACTGTTTAGAACTGATAGAACTACCCAGTATAATTAAAGTTAGTTTAGTTTAGGTTCCCTCCTGTAGTAACACTGGACCAATAAGAGATGACCCTTACTGGAACTCAAGGGAGAACAGTTTAGAACTGATAGAGCTATCCAGTATAAATAAAGTTAGTTTAGTTTAGGTTTCCTCCTATAGTAACACTGGATCAATAAAAGATGATTCTTACTGGACCTTTAGGAAAAACAGTTTAGAACTGATACTGTAGAACTACCCAGTATAAATAAAGTTAATTTAGTTTAGGTTTCCTCCTGTGGTAACACTAGACAGATAAGCTATGATATGCTCTAAAGATCTTTCTATCTCTTTCTAGCTTCTCAGGCTATGCCCAGGTTCACAGAAATTGCAAATCAAAGACGAATGTTCTTTGGGTGAATCGTATTGGTGCGCTAGTTACAAGAATGCTCTGAAATGCGATGTAAGTTGCTTGGCCTCTTTAAGACTCGGCCCAATCCCCACCAATTTTAGACCGAGGTTTGCAGTGGGAACTGGGTCTAGTTTCCTGTCTCGGCAATAGAACAATTACAGATATGAATGAATTATTTGGTTCTGAGTTAATAAGTTTGCTATTCCGACTCGATAGTTTGGGATTTACTTGAATTGAGTGACTTCCTTACTAGTTGGTTTTTTCAAGTGCTTTGAGGGCTCCGTTTTCTTTTCCTCTCCAAAAACTAAGTTGTTGATTGATTTCGTGTATCATGAGCGAGCCTTCGCAATCAACATTAAATAACTAACTTATCAAAATAATAATTATTGTTATATAGTTAGTGTCAATGTTCAATTTTTCTGCTTGCTGATTGGTCAAAACCGTGTCACGTGCCGGTCCACAAAACGTGATGTTCGGCAACCGGTCCGCAATCAAACATTTATTGACCGGTCAATAATAAAATGGGTGCAATACGCATGCGTGTCAAACATGAAGTTCCAAAGTTCATTTTTAAAACTTTTTACTAAACATTTACGGCGTTCTATTTATCCAGTTTTGGTTTCAAATTGAGTTCAAATTAAGTTCACGGTGAATTATTCATGCTTTGACACTTATATACTATATAACAAAACACTTATTTACTGAGACCTCGGGAAAGCAGTGTGTTTTGTGGCACCTCGACCACCGTTGTTGCCCTCGGCTTCGCCTCGGTTTCGGTGCACAAAACACACGGTTTCCCTCGGTCTCAGTAAGTAAGTGATAATTACTATCGTTTTAAATTTTTCAGGCGTTGGTGCATTGCAACTATCTCGCTTAAGAGCTACGTGGATAATGATTAATGTCACTTAACTCTGCACTTAATTTTATAGACGTAATTCGCAATTTATAATCATAATCAACGTACAGTAATAATAATGATAACGTGATTTCTACATATAGTTTAACGCACAATTAGCACATTTCAATATAAGCATAAATGTTGTATCACACTATACTTGGGGTACTGTGAAAGCATTTAGACACTTGAAAAACTTAAAAGAAAGTTGACTTTTCTAGAATGTTATTTGCATGTTTGGGGGAAGTGTATACTATCTTGAAACGTTTTCTATGGGTTTTTGAAATTTTTAATTAAAATTTGTTCTTGTCCGTGGTTGTTCTATTGCTTTTCTTTTACTGTATTCCCTGACTGCAGTTACTGCATTGAGTAATTTTACTAGTTTATGTCGTAAGTGATTTCTAAACTAGCTTTATTTATACTGGATAGCTTTATCAGTTCTAAACTGTTCTCCCTAGAGGTCCAGTGAGGATCATCTCTTATTGATCCAGTGTTACTACAGGAAGAAACCTAAATTAACTTTATTTCCACTGGATATGTTTATACCAGTTCCAAACTGCTCTCTCTTAGAGGTCCAGTAAGGGTCACCTCTTGCCGTGAAAAACCCTGCGGTGATTCAAATGGGAACTGAACGCGTTTTTCTCGTATGTGACTGGGGTGAAATTATAATCAGACAACAGCATATTGAAGACATTCAATGTCAAAGAGATGGAAGATACATACCTGTTCCACGGATACTAGCGAGAGCATTCATACATTCGCACACGCCCCTCGTGGAAATCAGCTTCGGTTGACGGGGTCAGCGTGTATAAATAAAAAGTTCTATCTACATCTTTCAGGAGTTGATAAAACCGAAGGAAGATGAGCGTTCCATAAAAAGAAATGTTTGCAAGCTTTTACGCGTGTTCAGAGTTGCTGAAAAAACCAAAGGTATGTTCATTATTAACTCTTATCTTGATTCTAGTCTACCAATCTCGCAGGAGTTTCAAGGGGAACATGGTGAGAGCCTTGTGTAGTCTTCTGGCC